TGTGTGTGTGTGTGTGTGTGTGTGTGTGTGTACACATATGAAAGAACAATATAAAGTAAGATAGTATTAAATCTGATAAATAATAATAACAATATAATTAAGTTGTAACACTTACTAATAAATATGAAATAAAGTAAATACTATAAATGTAATAATTAATAAAAATAAATATAAAAATTTTAAAACTTGTACTTATCGATGTAAACGAGTTGAATTGTTGAATGCTTGTTAATTATTTGTGCTTATTAGTTCTAGGTGTAAGTTTTAGGTTATTGACAATAGTTATTAGTACTTTTATTCATGTAGGTTAGAGCTTTCTTTTTTAAGAAAAAATGATTATTGTAATTTTAAATAATTTATTATTTGTTATTAACATTTTGAATATATATATTATATTGCACATATAAAATAATACTTATTTTTATTAATATGTAGAAAAAGTAACTCAATTGAGAAGTTAATAGGCAATACTTATTTTTATTAATATTTAGGAAAAAACTCAATTGACAAATAAATAAGCAATCTCTTCATAAAATAACGAGTAATTTGTAAGAAAATTATATGGACTAAAAAATAGACATGTTTAATATACTTTTAACATAAAAGTTTTAAATACAATTAATAAATAATAAAAATTACAACATAAAAATTTTAATGGTTAAGAAAGATTTCAAAATTTCCATATTATAATGAAAAATCCAACAGTGAAATATTCCAACGGATATTTCATTGATATAACTTCCATTGGAAAAAATCATTGGCTATTCCAACAAAGATTAAATTAAATTACATTGGAATTTTTGTGGATTTAATATTTCAATTACCATTGTTTATTGTTGGATTTTTTTTTTTTTCCGACCCGTTGGAAAAACTATCATTGAAATTGTAAAAAAATCAATGGAAGTTTCACTGAAAAACTAACTGCAATGGTGGATTTAAAGTAATTTCATGTTGGGACACAATTTAATTAATAGAAAAAGTATACAATCAAAATAACATAGTGTCATTACAATTTATATTTTATACTTTTCATAATTTGTCATTTTTCTCATATGTAATATTTTTTTTTAATACAATAGTACAATCACAATAAGTTCAATAATATTTGAAAAAACATACTTTTTTTATTCAACATAAGAAAATCATCGCAAATAATATTTTTTTTTTTTTTATGAACAAAAAAATTATGTTGTAGTATAGGTGACTCGACAATTAACTATTATTCTAATACAGTTAAAAATATATAAGAAATACATTTTAAAGTTAGATAAAAATATATCGCAATAGAGAGAATAAAAGTTATCACCAGGATTAAAAAGAAAAGAGATAATTAGAGTGTAAAAATGAAATTTTTGATAACTATCACATTTTCTTTATTTGTGATAGCGAGTTTATGTTATTACTTTAATAAATTTTTGAACTGGATTAAATTATAATTGGCTGAGTTGTAATTAAGTTATTATGTATCTTTCTTTCTATCAATTTTTTTTCTACATATGATTAAAATTATGAAAAATGTTCCCATAATTTTGTTGCATATCTTATGTTATATGTCGTGGGATGAGGCATTTGTTGGGACTATTGGATAAACATGGATCTGCCCACGATTCCAACAAAATATTTTTGTTAGAATATTTTTCATTGAAAATTCAAACCATAATAGTAATATTGAAATATTTGTTATTATTGTCGTTCAAATTCCACTGTAACATTTTTCATTGGAATTTCATCATATTTTTTGCAGTAAAAGTATGACTCCAAATCAAACTAAAACATTTTGCATGATATATAATATTGTGTACAGTTAATTATTTTGGGAGTTGTCGATAATAATACAATATATAACACATTCAATGTATATTATCATTTAATTTATGATAATGGGTAAATTTTTTTAAAAAAAAAACACCTAGGTTAAAAATTCATTAATTGTATTATTAGTATTATAAAAACTAAACAATGGGTAAGAATAATGTTTTGCGTAATAAAAAGGTAAGACAATGAGAAATTTTATAGTTTGCATTCCATCCAAAATTAAAAAAAAAAAGAAAGAAGAGAAAATGAAAACATTAATAAATGTCCTATATCAATTGGAGCTTTCGAATGATAAATGTAAAACATATTTAAGATCCACATTTATAAAAAAATATATAGTTTTTTGTATCAGAAATCATTATGTTAGTATTAATAATTTTTTAGTAAAAAATTTATTTACTTTTTTACTATTAAATTTTTCAAGTTTGAAATAATTGATATTTTTTTATTTGTTACCCTTTTATATGTAATATATCACATTATTTCTTTTCAATTGCGTTGAAAACAATATACAATTATTTCTATCGATATAAAATAATATATATATATATATATATATATATATCAATATCAATTTAAGATAATAAATGGACCTATAAGTATCGTATAAATTAAATTATAGATCCATGTTAACTCAATTTTATTAAGTATAAAATAATATTGGATAAACTCGTGGTATATTGTTATTGTATAATTTAAAATATTTATACTAAGAAAAAATGGAACATGGATTTAAAGGCGCGTACAACTATTATCAATGTTAACTATGTGAATTAACAGAAAAAATAAATGAGTTGTATTTAAACTATTATTCAATTACTGCTTGAAATGGAATACCGTTAATGGTTGTAAAATATATCTTTTTCGAATATAAAAATGAGTTAGTTACTTAATACTTTATCAAACAATAGAAAAAAAAATCCAAAACCTTTTAATCTTATAAACAATTAGAAAGTATATTCTTATCAAATATATTATTACTATCAAACACGTAAAAGAAAAACGAATGCATATAAATGTGCCCTAATTCTTTCAACAAATAAAATATTATTTTTGAATAAAACAAAAAAAACAAATAAAAAAATAGTAATGCAATGGGAAAAGAAAAGTTTGATTTTTCTTAGAAAAGTATGAATACCAATATCAAAAAACAAAAATATTTTAAAATTACTACTTTTTTCTTGCTATCATTTAAATATATGTTCTATATAAGAAATTGGTCCTCATAAATAATTATTCCATATATCATAATATAGACCATAAACTTTACTAACGACTTCGTAAAAATAAAGTTCACAGGCGACTAAGAGTATCATAGTATGATAAAATTCAAATTCTTCTCAGAAATATTTTGACAAATGATATGTTTCTCAATATTTTCTCATTGTTTATTATTATTATTATATTATTGTTATTATTATAATTATTACTATATTATTATTGAACAATCAAGAAAAGATCTTTATCTTGAGTTTTGAAAGCATTATGTATGATGCAAAAAGTTGGACAATAAATGCATTGGATAAGTTATTAGACATAAATATTGCAAATCCAAACGAATGTGAATGTATTATGATCAACGACTCTAAAATCATTGCAACAAACAAAATGTAAAATGATTTGCAAATAATAGGTTATGTAGTTCGTGGATCTTTCAAATAGATAACACTGAAAAGCGAACGTTTAATCCTGATCAAAATATTTTTAATGTTTGAATAAGTTGTCAATTTTTTATAAGAATATTTACAATCTTAATTATGTATTGTGCTCGATTATATACACAATTACTTTAGAGTACGTACGTTCATGTGATGATTTCAAAAAATAATTTAGCGTATCCGGAGAAGTACGTTATTTTGGAATATTTGGATATGAAATTCGTTTCCACCCTATGGTGTATGTACTAATTTGTCGATATGGAGAGAGGGAAAGAGAGAGAGAGAGAGAGAGAGAGAGAGAGAGAGAGAGAGAGAGAAAGAGTAATTTATACAATGATTAAAAAATATCAAGGATTTTAATGACACGTTTTTTTTATTTCAGATAAATATTTATGAACGGTTAGTAGAAATGCCTTATAATGATCATACAATCCCGAAGTTTGACTATATGTTAGACTAAAATATTTATAAGTGTTGAATAAAGCAGATGTATTGTTATATAATTAAGAATAATTTTGCTATGAATTTTTTTTATGAGAACGTCAAAACCAAAATGAAAGAAAATCACTCTTGAATCTAACTTAAATAAATAAAATGACGCATGTATCTATAACATACATTATGTCCTCAGTCTTTTTTAATTAAGAATTCATCACTTTTCATATATTTTTGTTGGGTTGTAATATGTTATTTACATCTTTTTATGTTATGTCATTATATTATTTTTCAAAAAAAAAAAAAAAAATGCATTACGAGTTTATTTGTTCAACATTTATTTTGTCGTATTTTAATAAATTCATTAATTGGCCTTATTAAACTTAATCGACCAAAAATATTCGTCACCACGTGCATTGCACGTGCACTTTACTAGTAAGATTAATTGTGTGTGTTTGTCTATGTATACTGGCTTATAAGAATGTCTCAAGATAACAAGAAGGTTCCATGTGCAGTTAACTCAACATTAAGCATCACTAATTTCTTTCATGCTAAATTAACAATTTATAATGTAGACAATAAGCGACAAGATAAAATATACATTTGCATGAATTTTTAGAAAAGCCATGAAGACACGTGTATGCAATAATTTATCTCATTTTGTTAAAGCATAAATTATGCAAAATTCAATCTAACAATAATTTATTTATGTCCAGGTTGGTACGGTCGTGACAAATGCAGTGATAAATGCTCGTAAAGCTGTTGATCACTCTGCTGGGGACGAGGTGGAAAATGTTCCTGTAATATCAACTAGTGTTGCCTATGGTGTCTATATGGCCGTGTCGAGCAATCTTCGGTATGCACAGACACAGCACACACACTATTTCCCTGTGCATTATTTTGTAAATTTTTCATATTGGAGGCTATTATTTTTCCACTTAGGATATATTGTCATTCGCGTAACTTTTTGATGGCATGCAAAAGGTTAATATCGACTGTAAGTGTGAATATTTTTTTGCCAAGTTCATGTCTTGTACAGTGTATAACTTTGGTAAGTGATTAGGTCCATCACATATTGAAACTCACTGGAAAGTACGGTTGCTTTTTACATGTTTTCTGAGTGTCTCTGTCCGTCTCCCATAAATTAGCTGATCAGCCTAACTGAATTTACAGTGACAAATATTTCAAATAATGGAATTCTGTTTCTGCTCTTAATCCGAAAAATCAAAATCTTCTTTTACCACAAAAAATTTTGCTCTGAACTTCATATGGTTTTGCCTTAGATACCAAGTGTTGGCTGGCGTTATCGAGCAACGGCTTCTAGAACCGATGCTTCATCAGCACAAGTTGATCCTGAGTGCTCTTTGCTTTGCTGTGCGAACGGGCAACACTTTCTTGGGTTCATTATTGTGAGTACATTTCCGTTTTTTTTTTTTTTTTTGAAATAATGTTTCCTCTTTATTCTTATCTGCCATGAAAGCATAACACGTAAACACCTTGCTCTGCAGGTGGGTTGACTATGCTCGTTTGATAGGGATCCAATAGGCTCCATATCTGAAGTCTTAAGTAGAAAATCGTGTTTTCTCAGCTCCAGTTTGTAGAATGTCATGTCAATTTATCCTTTCTGCTTGGATCATATGTTACAACAGGTTACTGGAGACACGCTAAAATGGTTCTTAACGTACCTGTATTGATTTGTCGAAATCGACAATGGTGGGACAATTTGTAATTTGAATTTTATATATTCAATAAATGAGACACTCCAACAAATTTGTTACATTCCATATGTTTCAATAGAAATTTTAACGGATATTCCAATGGCATAACTCCAACGGAATAATTATGTTGGAATTAGTTTTTCTATTGGAATCTGGTTTTCTTGTTGATTTATTATTATTATTTTTTATTTTTTATTTTTGCCAAATATTCTTTAGAAAAACTGGTTATTTCATTACAATGGATTTCTGAACTTTATGGAAGGACGGTTAACTGTATCAACCTGCAATTATTGCATTCTTTTACATCCCAATGAAATGTTCAGTTCAACATTTTGTTCTTCTCTTTATTTTGTACTCAATTTATTTTTTGGAGTTATCTGAACTAAATAGTATATAAATTTATTGAGGGTAAATATTCCATATGAGAAAAGGTTATATGATATGAAAATAGTTATTCTGATTTTTCTTTGATCGTTTAACTAAAGTAACTAGCACCGGCCAGTAACAGCCCAATAACTAGATGTCCTGCCGTATATGGCGGAGCAGCACTGGGTTTGTGAGCTCCGGGGAGCTGAGATGCGGCAAGTGACCCTCTGTTGGAATCAACTCCAAGACCGACCTCCCGCTCAGGCTCCGGTGGATGTACTCAGCCACCTCCACCGGCACCACCGCGTCCTTGGAGCTGTGGATGACGTGGCAGGGGACGGTGATTTGGCTGAGGTATGGCCTCATGTCATAAGAGTATATCCAGCCGGCCCTGTGTAAGGCAATGTCCGGCCGCTCCTTAAAGAGGGTTCTTTTGAACTCCTTCACGGCCACCGAGTCCGGGCTGCCGCCCACCATCAGCTCGGCCAAGCCCGCGTAGAAAGATGTTGGATTCTTTTGGAAGGTGGCCATCATATGGTCGATCGTTTCCTGGTCGGTGCCTCCGTAGTAGTCCTTCGAGTTTGTCATTCTAATAAAATTGCCATTACAAAATTAGAACCCCCAAAAAATTACCGACAAGATAGTACTAATTATCATGTACCTCGGGGTAGCGGAAATCATGATCACTTTACTGAACAGTTTGGGCCTGGAAATCGAGGCTATGGCGGCCACCAAAGGGGACAGCGAGTGCCCGACGAAAATGCATCCCTCGACTTTGAGTTCGTCCAAAATGGCGACTAAATCTTCCACGTAGCCATCGATGCATGAGTAACGCTTGAAATCGTAGAGGTTGGGGTCCGTGGTCCCAGCACCCATGTTGTCGTAGAGAATAACAGTGTAGTCGTCCACGAGGTGTGGGACCAAGTGCTTCCATACTGACTGGTTGCTGAAAACACCATGGCCGAGGACAACTGTGGTTTCCCCCGAACCGAAGACGGTCACATTATGAGCCGATCCAACTTTGTTCATGTTTGTTATTTATTTATATTCACTCTTTTGAGAGTATTTTTGCTTTGTGTTGCTGTGGGTGAGTGAGTGAGTATTCGGTGGGTGTTTATATAGTGTAGTCAGTGTAGTAATCCTTGTGGACGAGATCCTTCATGGGCGGTGTTGCACTTTCGTGGTTCTGGTGAGGTAGTCCCGTGATGTTCCACTTGATCACGTAATCTCATGTGGGTTTTATTTTATATTATCCATGTTTGATTGGGTTGACATTTGGAAGGTTAGGATGCATGAGATTCTATGAAGCCATATGTGTATTTATTGCAGGACACTTGTAAATGCACAATTTGTGAATAGCTATGAATGACTTCATAAGTCGATCAATCCTATGGCTCCATAGCAAAACCGGGTAGGATCCTTATTCTAAGGAATATTTAATTAATAATTAATATTTAATGTGAATTGTTATTTACCGCCCCCTTTTACTACTCATCGTCCTCTCATTTTCTTTTTTGACCTTCAACTCTCTCTCTCTCTCTCTCTCTCTCTCTCTCTCTCTCTCTCTCTCTCTCTCTCTCTCTCGTACTCTTTCTTTCCCTCTCGAACCCCTCGCCTCTTTGCCGCCTCGCCGCGCCTCCAAAAAGTTCTGAAAATTGTCAAATCCTCGCGAGGGCCGAGGAAAGATGATTCGTCCGGTATGTTTTTTTTTGTATGTAATTTAAAACAAAAAATTTAAAGAATCTGTGCGGTCGGCTGACGCGAAGGGAGTGGTCGACCGCCGATCACGGTGGGCGTTGCGCGGGAGGAAGGCGACGTTCGGCTTCACGCTAAACGGCCGCCACCGCTGGTTTTACCCATGTGAGCGGTTTAATTCCCCTAAGATTCTTCTTTATCTTTAAGCTCTCCTCATTAAGTGGCTTGATTGTAAGCTCGACCTCAATTACCTTGAGCTGGGATATCCTCGACAATGAATGTTGTCGTTCTATCCGTTTGGTCGATCATTCTGCCAGATGCCTCTTCCCGTGACCTTCGACCAGGCTCTCAAGGAACCCCTATTCGACCCATTGGTATAATCTGTTCTTCAGTGCTTTCTTCGACCAGAGGGTCTTTCGACCTGAGCGATCCTCTTTCTCCCTCTGACTCGATGACCAACCAGGCTGGTTTGTTTGGTTGCCTCAACGGTCCAGTCGACTTAGTGTGGTTATCCCATATCAGTTGCACTCTTTGAAAACATGGACTTCATTTATATAAATAAATTTTTTGATATCATTTATAATTATTTTCATAGCTAGAGTTATTTCTTGAACATTTTGCATTACAAAAATATATTCATAATAAACATGATCTTAAATTTAATTAATGAATTTAAATTTCAAATTAAAAATAGAAGGTTATAATGTGCATAAATTAATTTCTAGAGAAAATATATTAAAAATAGGTAAAAGTAAATAGCCATACTATGAGAGTATTTATATGTATATAATTTGAAAATAGTATAAAATAAAAAGTACTTAATAATACAAATCTATCCTAGAACGACATCGTTTTAAGAATGGGGATTGTGACAACTATTTTAGTATTTATTCCAGTATTCTGAATGATGGTCTGGATTGATGATTGTTATTTTCTTTTATAGGATATAAAATTAATAGTAAATAACATTATATGATAGTTTTTTGCATAGGTTGAAATTTTGTTCATTTGTTAAAAAGAAAATTATTGTTTCAGTTTTAATCTGTGTTTCTAAAGATCCTTTTGTGTTAGACAAATATTTTTATTCTTCAAGAATAATTATTTCGTTCATTTTCTGTTATTGTTGCATGTTGGTGAAAAAATAATTCTCATTTTCACTTAGACATATAGTTAAATATTTTTTTATTCAAAAAAATATATATAATTTCTAAAATTTTACAAATTTAGTAAAACAAATAGCATTAATTTTAAATTTCCTACTTAGTTGTTTATTAAACAAATTATTAAAAAAATATCTAAATGATGTTATTTTATAATTGAATTAATTATAATAAAGTAATATTAAATTGTAGGCAAATTATTTTCAATACAAAATTATTTTAATATAAAATGAATTGATTTTTAACCACAAGACGATGTGATTGTGCGGAAGCAGAGTATTACAAAACATGAACCTTCAGGGGCGCATCCCAATCTCCCTCCGAAACTCGTTTGTATATGTACGTGTTTGACCCATTACACTTAAGACTTACAAAGAAGACTCCATCTCCTAAACATACAATGTAGTATCGACTGTAAATGTGAATATTTTTTTTTGCCAAGTTCATGTCTTGTATAGTGTATAACTTTGGTAAGTGATTGGGTCCATCACATATTGAAACTCATTGGAGAGTAGAGGGTAATGGCCCCGTTTGGAAGATAGCGGATTGAAGATAAATTAGCGGATTGGACTCAATTGAGAGGTTTGACCCGTCAAATCCGCTATTAAGTTTGTTTGGTAAATAGCTTATTTGATAAGCTTTTTCGGCCCAAAACTCTAATTTAAAAAAAGCTCATTAGAGGAGCTTTTTGGGATAGAGGATTCACAATCTACTATTTTAATTTGTATTATTTATTTTACAATTTACATTGGTTTATGGTGCTAATAAATAATAATATGTAATTTATATGATTAATTTATCTAGAAAAATGTAAAATTTATAACTTCTTAATCAAGTGTTAGTAAATTTAAAAAAAAATAATATATTTATAAATTACCAAATAAAGAATATTAAATGTTTTAATATATTATTATTAAAAGAATACACCCTAAATAATAAAAATATCCTTATTGGTAATTTGCAATGTCAAACAGCTATAAGCTTTCAGCTATTTACCAAACACTTATTTAAAAACCGCTAATGCAATTCGCTGGTCAAATCAGCTAATATAATCCGCTATCCGCTATCCGCTAATACAATCCGCTATCCGCTATCCGCTATCCGCTGATCGCCAAACAATGCCAATATATCTTACGGTTGCTTTTTACATGTTTTCTGATTGTCCCTGTCCGTCAGCCCATAAATTAGCTGCTCAGCCTAACTGAATTTATACCTTGCTTATTACATACGAATTTACCTTGTGAAAGAAATTTTTCCATTCACATTCTTCTCTCATTTTTGAAGTTGTTTCGATTGTGATTGTTTAATATTTCTAGAAAAAAATTAGAAAAAATAAATTTTTATATCTCAATTCTAAGTCTAACTCGACTTTAACTCAATCCCATCATCTTCAATATTATTAATATAACTAAATAATATCATTCAACTATTCTTACACATTACATTAATTTACTATTAACACACTCACAGAATTTTAACTACCTATCATTTTCCAATCATATATCTCCTACTTTTACATCAATCAATTTTAATTATTCTTTTCAAATATTATTTTAATAAATTTTAAATTTCCACACACAACTAATCATATTAACCGTTTTCAAATAAGTCTAGTTAAACAGAAAAAAATATATATATATTTTCTAGTTTGTATAAACTAGCAAGGTCTTACTTGTCCTGACCAAATCCATAACATTGACAATATCTTGATCATTCTTTTATAATTCTGCTCATAACTCGTTAGTTAGTGTAAAATTTGTCTCATTACAAGAAGACAAAATATGAAATCAAAAGGTTGTATCTACACAAGCAACAAATTACATTGTCCTCTTTGATCAGCAATAGTCTCATCCTCGATTATCATTTCAATAAATTTAATTATGGAAGAGAACATAGAGATAATGTTAGACTTCGTTTTATATAGACTATTTAAAAGCTTAAAATTATTTTTATTATGTCTCGCAAGTTCTCAAATCTTGCCTTTTCTTCCTAAATATTTATTTGGAAATTATAACTACATATATTAGCAGCAAAAATCCAGCCTGGGCAATTGCCCAGGCTGGACCAAGTGTAAATCCGCCCCTGCGTAAAAACCTTGCTCTGCAGGTGGGTTGACTATGCTCGTTTGATAGGGATCCAATAGGCTCCATATCTGAAGTCTTAAGTAGATCATTGTGTTTCTCATCACCAGTTTTTTGAATGTCATGTCAATTTATCCTTTTTGCTTGGATCATATGATAACAACTGGAGATGCTGAAATGGTTCTTAACGTATCTGTATTTATTTGTCGAAATTGACATGGTGTGACAATTTGTAATTTGAATTTTATATATTCAATAAATGAGACACTCCAACAAAATTGTTATATTCCAACTGAAAATTCTACGGTGATATATTCCAATAGAAACTTTAACGGATATTCCAATGGTATAATTTCCAACGGAATAACTCCGTTGGAATTAGTTTTCTGCTGGAATATGGTTTTCTTGCTGATTTTTATTTTTATATTTTTGCAAATATTCTTTCTCTAATTCTTTATAAAATCTGGTTATTTCGTTACAATGGATTTATGAACTTTATGGAAGAAGAAGGACGGTTAATTGTATCAACCTGTTGATCAAGAGCACCCTCAACACCCTTCCGCTTCATCTCTTTATGGTCCTTGACCCTACCAATCTACTCTTCATGAGTTAGATCAGATCCTGGCTCGTTATTTTTGGGGACATAGAGAGGGTTCTCGGAGAGGGAAACAGGTCCAATGGGTCAGGTGGGACTCCGTTTGCCGCCCATTCTCTGAGGGGGGTCTTGGGATCCGTCGCTTTTTAGATGTCGTCACTGCGTCCTCTCATAAGATGTGGTGGCAATTTAGGGAGGATAAGTCACTTTGGGTCCAGTATCTTCGTCAAAAGTACTGTCCTGGAGGCGCTGCCCACCCCTGTAGGGTGACGGCCACCACCCGCGATAGCAGACAGTGGAGGCGTCTCGCTTTGGTTGGTAGATGTGCTCAGAAGCACATATTTTGGACTCTGGGTGAGGGGACATTAGTTTTTGAGATGAGTGGTGGTTTGGTGAGGGTCCTATTTCGAGCACTAGACAGGTTACCCACATTATCTTTCTGCAGGTGAAGGACCTGTGGACGAAGAAGAGATGGGATAGGGATAGGCTAGAGATGAT